GAGGGGGAGTCTTTGGGCGCTGGGCTGAGTGCTGACCGGCGACGTTCCCTCTGTGCCCGAGAGTTCCGCAAACTAGGCTTCTCTGTGAGTGTCTCCCTACCTAACTCCCCACCCCTGCCTCAGCCCAGGGCTGTTGCTCTAGAGGGCTGTGGCCCTTCTTGAACAGCCTGTGCCCCCTTCACCCAGAACAGCAACCCAGCACAGGACCTGGAACGCGTGCCCCCTGGTCTGCTGGCCCTGGACAACATGTTGTACTTCTCCAGAAATTCACCTAGCGCATACAGCCGGGTCGGTGACAGGGCAGAGAGTGGCAGCATCCCCCAGGCAGGGTCCCCATGGGCTTAGCCATGACTCCTCGCCCCATTCTCTGCCCCTGCCAGTTTGTGTTGGAGAACAGCAGCCGCGAGGACAAGCACGAGTGCCCCTTTGCCCGGGGCAGCATCCAGCTGACGGTGCTGCTGTGTGAACTGCTGCACGTTGGGGAGCCCTGTGAGTGGCCTGGACAGGGCACAGTGTGGCCAGGGGCAGGGGACGGAAGGGCAGAGAGGGCCAGGGGCTGCATGCACTTTCTCCCTGAGCCCCTCCTGCCCCCCCGCTCCAGGCTCCGAGACAGCCCAAGACTTCTCACCCATGTTCTTTGGCCAAGACCAGAGCTTCCATGAGCTCTTCTGTGTGGGCATCCAGCTGCTGAATAAGACCTGGAAGGAAATGCGGGCTACACAGGAGGACTTCGACAAGGTAGGTGGGGTGGGAGCTGGGAGTCCTGGGCCAGGGCAAGGGGTTGATCTGGGTACAGAGCTCAGGCCCTGAGCTGAGCTCGGGTGGCCCCAGGTCATGCAGGTGGTGCGGGAGCAGCTGGCCCGAACGCTGGCCTTGAAGCCCACCTCCCTGGAGCTCTTCCGAACCAAGGTGAATGCACTCACTTATGGGGAGGTGCTGCGGCTGCGGCAGTCTGAACGGCTGCACCAGGAGGGCACGCTGGCTCCCCCTATACTGTGAGTTTGGGGTGATGGATCCCCACTCCTAGCCCCACCTTCCCTGGTGCCCCCTGGGCTACTCCCCAGGTCGGATGTGCTCAGTGACACCCCTCTACCAGGGAGCTGCGGGAGAAGCTGAAGCCAGAGCTCATGGGCCTGATCCGCCAGCAGCGCTTGCTCCGCCTCTGTGAGGGGACACTGTTCCGCAAGATCAGCAGCCGGCGGCGCCAGGGTCTCTGAGTGGGCAAGCGCTGGGATCGGGTGGTAGGCAGTGGGCAGAGGGTGGCTGGCTTTGGGTCAGGACCTCTCAGTGCTCCGGCCCTCTTCCCTTTCTCCACATAGACAAGCTGTGGTTCTGCTGCCTATCCCACAATCACAAGGTGCTACAGTATGGAGACATGGAGGAGGGCACCAGCCCGCCTGCCCTGGAGAGTCTGCCTGAGCAACGTAAGGCGGGCACGGGTGGGAGCCCAACACCTGCTCTCCCCAGACCACCCTGAGCCCTGAGGCTGCCTGGGCCACAGTGCTCAGCCCAGCCTTCTTCCTATAGTCCCTGTGGCCGACATGAGGGCGCTCCTGACAGGCAAGGACTGCCCCCATGTCCGGGAGAAGGGCTCTGGGAAGCAGAATAAGGTGGGTGCAGCAGGCCAGGGGGCTCCTTCCTGCCCGCCCCTGCCTGCCCTGTCCTCTGCTGAGTGTCCCTCTCCCTTGCTTCCCCAGGACCTCTATGAGTTGGCCTTCTCGGTCAGCTATGACCACGGGGAGGAGGAGGCATACCTCAACTTCATTGCCTCCTCCAAGCGGGAGGTGAGTGTCCATCAGGCTGAGGTTGGCAGGTGGGCAGGGGAGGCAGATGGGCAGGCCCTCACAGCTCTGTGTTGTCCCCAGTTCTACCTGTGGACGGACGGGTTGAACGCCCTGCTGGGCAGTCCCATGGGCAGTGAGCAGACACGGCTGGACCTGGAGCAGTTGCTGAGCATGGAGACCAAGCTGCGTCTGTTGGAGCTGGAGAATGTGCCCATCCCCGAGCGGCCACCCCCTGTGCCCCCACCCCCCACCAACTTCAACTTCTGCTATGACTGCAGCATCGCTGAACCTTGACAGTGTGGCTGGCCACGAGCCACAGCTGCAGCCATTGCGGCAGCCATGAAGGGTGGAGGGTAGAGGAGTGATGCACCCTGACCAGCAGGTTTGCTGCAGAAATAAAGTCTGCTTGGCTCTTGGGCTATGTTGAGCCAGCTCTGAACCTTGTGGCCTGAGCCTGTGACAGTGACAGTCTTCCCCTTCTACCTTCAAACTTAGCTGGTGGATAAGATGGGGCATCAGGCCCAGGCCACAAACTTCGACAGTTAACAGTTGAGGTGCTGATGTTCTGAAGGGGGTGGGGACAGGCTGGGACCACTGCCCTCCTCCAAGATGAATCCTCAGCTTCCCTCCATGCTGGGCCTGTGGGAAGGGCTGGCCTGTGGTCTGAGGGCACCTGCCAAGGGAGAGCTGGGCTGCCGGCCTGCTGAGGGAGAAGTGGCAGGGCAGGAGGCACTGCCCCAATAGACGCCTTCCTGCACAGCGTTAACAGTGGCCTAGTCTGGGAGCCATCTCCAGAAGGCTCCTGACAGTCTGACCCCAGTCCTCAAGCTTGCATGGCTCTGCCTGGTGTCCTTTGTAAGACTTGGAGGTCTCTGGTGAGAGGCATGAAGGGAGAGAGGTGAAGCCAGGCCTACTTTCTGCAGAAGGGCAGGGTCAAGATTCCCAAGGGCATCCCCAGGCCAGTGGGAGGATGTGGGCTGATTCTGACAAGAGCTATTTCTGTGCAGGAAGCCCTGCTTCTGATTAAAACCTAACTCAGGGCTGGGCTTGGTGGCTCACGCCTGTAATTCCAGCACTGTGGGAGGCCAAGGCAGGCAGATCACCTGAGGTCAGGAGTTGGAGACCAGCCTGGCCAACACGGTGAAACCCTGTCACTACTAAAAACACAAAAATTAGCCAGGTATGGTGGCTCACACCTGTAATCCCAGCTAGTTGGGAGGCTGAGGCATGAGAAATGCCTGAACCCAGAGGCTGAGGTTGCATTGAGCTGAGATCGTACCACTGCATTCCAGCCTGGGCAATAGAACAAGACTCCATCTAAAAAAAAAAAAAGACCTATCTCAGAGCCATGGGTGGGGTGGGGGCCATAGACAGGCCAGAGTCCCTGGGGGCAGAAGCAGGTTTGGTCACAGAGGCAGAGGCTGTGGTCACAGACCCCATGCCCTTGAGGAAAGAAGAGCTCATCAGTCCGTGGAGCTCACAGGGCAGGCTGAAGCCACTGCCCCTCAGACTTCTCCCTGCCACTCACCTCTTCTCTTCCTAATGCCTCTAATATCATTTTTTGTTTTTGTTTTTTGAGATGGAGTTTCGCTCTTGTTGCCCAGGCTGGAGTGCAATGGCACAATCTCGGCTCACTGCAACCTCCACCTCCCAGGTTCAAACCATTCTCCTGCCTCAACCTCCCAAGTACCTGGGATTACAGGCGTGTGCCACCATGCCCAGCTAATTTTTTGGATTTAGTAGAGATGGGATTTCTCCATGTTGGTCAGGCTGGTCTCTAACTCCTGAGCTCAGGTGATCCACCTGCCTCAGCCTCCCAAAGTGCTGGGATTACGGCTCCAATACTGCTTTTAACCATCAACCTGGCTGACTGTGAGAACTGATGAGATGGCACTTCCTTTGGAGAATGTGCCAGAGGGCACTTGCTCCCCCTTCCTCAGCTAAGCTTCAGCTCCTTGGGCATCCAGGGCCCACCATACCCATGCCTAAGGACTTCCCACCACACTTGGAGTGGTCGGCCTTGAGTTCTAGGTAGAAATGGGAGGCAGGGATCCCCGATGCTGTCAGCCTCCCTGCAACTGTCAATTCTTCCTTCCTAATGTCTCCAGTCCCTTGTGCATGCCACCATCATAGTAACAGCCTCCTGACTTCCGGCCTCCCATCTTGCCCCTCCAACCCTCTTAACACCAGCTATCCCAACTGCTTTCTCCAACATAAGTCTTATCATACATACACAAACATCCCATATATTCCATATGTCCCTATCCGTGTCCATGGGTTAATGGCTACAGTTTCCATGACTAAGCCTGAGTTGAGCCAGATGAGTCGTAGACATGCTGCGGTTTAGCCCTTCCACCTGAGCACCTGTGGCTTGCAGGGTTCTTGGTGCTTGGTCCAAGCTGGCATCCTCCCTGCTTAGACCACCCCCTCAGTGCCAGCTCTGGCCTGCTCGGGTGTACCCTCACAGTGCCTTCTGTCTGGATCACCCTCTTCCTCCCTTCTCTCCAGTTTCACTGCCTGATTCCTTTCTGGACCCTCCAAGCCCAATTTGTTGCTCCCTGGGCTCTGGTCCCAGGTGCTTGTCCCTCTTCACACATGCTCTGCACGCTGGACTGTCCCTGCTAGCTGGCTTCTCTGCCTCCCCAGCTGGCTCTGTGCTGGGAGAGCTTTGGCTCCTCTGAATCCCCACATAACGCACAGTCCCTGCAGGCGCTAGGGTATTCCTGGCTCGCTGCTAGAACCAGTGACCAGGGATATGGATGAGGTGTGGGGACACCAAGCCCTTGGGGAAAGAGGAGCCCATTGGTCCCCAAAGCTGCCATGGAGAAGTCACCAGCACCATTGAGGAGCCTGGATTAGGTGACCTCTAGTGACCCTCTCACCCAGAAATGCTGGCCTCTTTCATTCTCTTCCTCTTATTTCCCCCTCAGGACAGCCTCACTGACTCAAGCATTATTCATCAGTTGTTCCTGGAGTCTGGCTGGGACAAGCACACAGTGTGTGCCTTTACTGCAGGGCACACCCAGGCCTGCGGGGTCTCCTACCACGTGGAGAAGCTGCTAGGACCTGGCTGTGTCAGGCCAGGGTGGGAGCCCCTGTGGGACTGTGGGCCAAGCCTGAGGAAGGAGCGTGCCTGGATGCTCTTGCCTGCTCCAGGGCCACTTCAGCTGAAGTGGGGAGGAGAGGGGCCCTTTAGTCTGAGAACCTAAGACAAGGTACTATCTGGAATGTTTAATCTTAGGGTTTACAACACAGACCTGGGCTCAGCTGCTGAAGCTCAGTGCACACTGGGGTGGGGCGGGGAAGAGTCCCACAGGAATAGGTGGAGCCAGGCCTTAGGTCTGAGAAGAGGGCAGGCAAGAGACATAGGGTCTGCTCCTCCTAGGACCAGACCCCACCCGCTGAGGGCCCGGCCTCCCAACCAGGGCCTGGCCAGAGAGCAGGAGCCTGTGGCAGCAACGTGTGGCTGGAAAGAGGCTGCTGCCAGGCTGTGCGGCAGAAAGTTCTCTGTGCTGCCCTGGATTGGCCCCACCCCCAGTCCTCAACGGAGGCAACCCGGGTCAAGGCCGGGGTTGGGGACAGGGGGAGTCAAGGAGGCTGAGCTGCAGGGCTAGTTACTCAGAGTGTTAGGGTCAGGTCAGCCCCTCCCACAAAGCGGGACTGGACGCAGGACACCTGGGGCATCTGGGCCTGGAAGCGCCTGACAGCGGCCATGTTGATGCCAGGACACATGGCCACATCCAACACCCGGAGCCGCCTGCACGCCTGTCCAATGGCATCCAGTGTCCTGTGGGGAGGCCACCAGATGAGTGCCTGGCCTGCCGTGGGACCCAGCCCAGCCCCTGCACCATGGCTCCATCTGCCCAGTGTCATTGGACACACTCACTGCTCTGTGAGCTGACTGCAGCTGGACAGGTTGAGGTGCTGCAGCCTTGGCCAGGAGCTGGCTGCCTGGGCCCAGCCCTCGTCACTGAGGTGGCTGCAGTGACTCAGTACCAGGCGCTCCAGGCTGGGACAGCCCCTGGCCACAGCCACCAAGCCCTTGTCTGTGAGTGCTGGCAACAGGCTCAGGGACAACTGCTTCAGTCGGGGGAACTGGAGCACCTGCGAGGATGCGGGGGAGGGGTAAATCCCACTGGAGCCCAGAGCCTTGGCCCTTCCAGATCCTCCCACCCCAGCCAGGGCATGACCAGAGGCAGCAGAAGCCAATGAAAAAGGAACTCCAAGGTCAACTTTTTTCCAAGCAAAAAGTGGTTTGTCCCAGGCCCCTGACTTTAGCCCTAAGATCCTCAGCCTACTCACAGCCCCAGTCCCACACCTTGGCTAAACTGGCATCAGTCAGCTTGCTGCAGGCTGTGAGGTCCAACTCCTGCAGGGCCCGCAGCATGAGCAGGGAGGGGCCCTGTGGCTCGGGATTGGGGTCCTTGGTGCCTGAGGCCTGATGCTCCAGCTCTGCATGTGGCTGTGGGAAGAAGCCCCTGCTTCTCAGGTTCTACCTGAGTTTGCCCTTAAATGCTCCTACAGAGAGACTTGGGAGGGGCAGGAGGGCAGCTGAGCCCAGGGGCCACCCCGCCCTCCAAGACCTCAAGGGTCCCGCACCTGGGTCCCGTGCAAAGGCTCCCCCAGCCCCAGAAGCCCCCAGTCACAGAGCTCCTTGCACCAAGCCAGGCGCAGGACTGAGAGGTGGGTGAGGTGCGTGAAGATGGCCTGCAGGGTCCGGTTGGTGAGGGCCACACAGGAGGACAAGTCTAGCACCCTGAGGCTTGGGCCCAGCGCTGGGATCATGGAGAGCACTGAGGCATCCTAGGAGGGAGGGAGGGAGGAGACAGGATGGAGCGGCAGCTAGTGCCTATGACACCTGGCCTTGCACTGGTAGCTAGGAAGGGTCTGTCCAAGGCTCCCAACCCACAGGCAGGAGGGAGCTACCAGAGGGTCCCAGGAAGGAAGCAACATGGCCCCCATGCTGGTGGTGAAAGGTGGGCATAGAAAGGGTAGTAGACAGGGAGTAGCCATGGGGGTTGCCACAGGGAAAAGACCTGGACTATGGCTGGGGCAGGAAGCATACAGGTGGCAAGGTCTAGGGTGACCCCCCTGCCTATGCTCCCAGCCCCTGCCAAAGGAGTGGATGAGGCCGCCTCAGACCACAGCTCACTAGACCAGCCAGTTGACTCTGCTGAGCCAATCGAGGTGGAACTGCCAGCTGCCAGGGCAGTTAGGGAAGGGGAGCAGGAGCTGGAGGCTAGTTTGTAGAGGGATACACAGAGGGGAGCTTCGAAGACACAAGAACGTGAGGCCTGGAGGCAGCAGCTGAGACATGCTTGGTGGCAACGGGAGGGAGTGGAGCCGGGAAGAGAGGTGCTTGGAGACGAACAAGATGGAGGGACGGTTTTATGTTGAAAATGCCCTGGTCAAATGGACAGGTTGAAGAAATAATCCACTAAAGAGGGATGGACTGACACTACCAGGATAGGGACGCCACCCAGAGGGACAGCGCTGAGCCCTGCTGAAGGGCCTGGAAATGACCCTGCTGCTCCGGTCATTTCCTTGGCCAGGAAATGACCCTGCTGCTCCTGTCGCATCACCCTGCAGGGCCCACTCCAGCGCCTTCCTCAGTGCTCCTTCCCTGCCTTCCTTGCCCATCACCCCCTTTCTTCAGCCCTCCTAGCTCCAGAACACTCGTCCTCAGCACTCCTCCCCAGACACAGCCGTCGCCACGCACTTGGCACGTGAGCTGTTGGCTGCCTCATGTGGGCTGGGCCACCCTGGCTGCTTAGACCTCCTAGGCCCAGAATGGGGGCTTTGGGGAGGTGTCCTGGCAGCAGCAGCTGTCTAAGCTCCTGTCCTCCTCCACATTGGGTCCCAAGTTCATTTCCAACTGCCAATTGTGGGCATGAACACTGGGGAGTCCTCCCTGGTGCCACAGGCTGCCCACTACCCCCACCACCCCAGTTCCCCCTCCTGCCATCCCCAGCCCTGGAAAGGAAGGAAGGGCATGATGGTGTGCTCACCTTCAGCGAAGAGCAGTGGGCCAGGCTCAGGGAGGCCAGCTGTGGTGGAGCCCCATGCACGGAGCCTAGGGCCCGGGCCAGTTCCCACCCTCTCACCAGGCAGCATTCGGCCATGTCGAGGCTCTGCAGCTCCCACAGGCCACCCAGGGCTGTACATCCTACATCTGTCAGCCGCTGCAGCTTCCCCAGGCTCAGGTGCCGCAGGTGCCGCAGGCCCCGGCTCACAGCCAAGAGTGCCCCATCAGTCAGTTCTGAGCAGCCGCTGAGGTCCAGGGAGGTAAGGCCTGGTTGCTGGAGGCACAGGGTGGCCACAGCCTCCGTGGAGAGGTTCCGGCAGCTTTGCAGGCTCAGCTCCTGCAGTTGCAGCCCAGCTACCTGGCCCAGGGCCCGAAGGGCCTCAGGTGGCAAGCCAGTGCCACTCAAGTCCAGGGCATGCAGCCTGCCAGCCCGCTCCTGCACAAATCGCAGCAGGTTGCGGAAGGAGAACTGAGAGGGAGAGGAGTCCTGGGGGCTGATGCAGCCTCGGGCTGGGTCTGGCTCGAAGGTGAGGTGGCAGTAGGCCAAGGAGAGGCGCTCCAGACTGGGGGCACAGCTGCTGAGCCGGTTGAAGCTGAGGTCAGCTAGGTCCCGCAGGCCAGCCAGGTTGAGCTCATGGAGGCCACTCAAGGTCTGCCGGATGCTGTGTGCCGTCTCGGGCTGAGCCAGCAGTGTGCCCGAGGTGAAGAGGCTATTGCAGCCACTGAGGTCAAGGATACGCAGGGTTGGGCAGCCCAGGATCAGGTCTACAAAGGCGGCCTCTGTGGGGCTGCCCCCACCCAGGGACAAGCTCTGCAGGTGCGGGCCCAGATGGTAGGCAACAGATTGTAGCACCTGGTGTGAAGCTGGAGAGCCATCCAGGTTGGTCAGGCTGATGCAGCAGATGCTCTTGAAGCCCAGGCTCTTGATGGTCGAGAGGGAGGCAGAGGACACGGGGATGTTGTATCGCACGTCTCTCTACAGAGCAGCAGCAAGCCTGGGGTAGCCCTCTGGCTTCAGAGGGTGCTGGGCATTGGGTTTGGTGACAAGTCACTGGCCAGAGGTTGGGGGCAGTTCAGGGAAGGGCCCTTCCACAATGGGGACCCACCATGGTGTGTGGTATCATGTGTGGTCAAGTGGGGTGCGGGTAGGAAGTGGGAGCTGGGGTTCAAAGGAGATGGCCATCAGAGGACGACGGGAAGGTTAGTGATGAACAGGATGGGATGCCAAGGGAGGGGCAGGGACAGAGTGGGGAGTTGGGATGTTGAGCACAGGAGGGCTGAGATAGGACCTCAGAAGGTCTTCCTAGAGGAAGCCCAGTGAAGTCCCCAGGGCGTGGGAGGGCAAAGCATGCTGGACCCCAACCTTTAGGACTTTCAGAAGGAGGCCCTGAGATCCATGGACTCAGCCTCCTACTCCAGGGATTTGGCATAAGCTAAGCAGCCAGCCTCTCCCACTTTCCAGAGAGCATAGCCTTCCGAACAGTGGAAGGCGGGAGAAGTGAGGTAGGTGTCACTCACCACCCTCTATGGCCCAGGAGCCAGAGGTCTGGGGCAGGCAGTTAGGCCTAAGTCCCCTGGTGGTCTCTGAGAGTCTGTCACATGAATGTTTGCAAAAATGTGTTCTGTGTGTAAGAAAAAAATGTGTGTGTGACAAATGTGTACGTGCATGTGTGTGTGTGTGTGTGCATGTGCATGTTTGTGTGTGCATGAACATGTGGCGCTGCCTGATATTGGGCCCTGGATGATCTAGAGTTCAAGATGTGTGATCCCTGCGGCACATATCCAGAGGGGACATACATGTCAAGGTAAGGATGCTGAAGCCTTCCATTTCTGTGGGTGGGAGCTAACAGGACACACCTCACCCTTCCCAAGGAAGTTGAGCTGGCTTTGAGTAGAGGAACAGGGGCATGAGAATGGAGAGTGCACAGCTGGAGTCAGGTGGGACCCAAAAGAAAAACTCAAGGCTACATGGTGGGAATAAGTTGGCTTGTGCAGGCATTTAGAAGCTCGGAGCTAAGGAGATATCTTTAAAGAACTTTTCCTGATATTGCAGTGGAGTGAGCCAAAGGGAAATCGGTATGTGTGGAACAGATCTTTGGGGAGAGGGAGAAGAGGGCTGGCTTCTAAAATCCTTGCCCCATCTCCCTACCTCTTGTCCAGGTTGCAGGCATGTGGTACTCAAAGAAGCCTCCTGTTTGAATCAACATGCAAGAAAGGAAGCTCCCCTAAACCGGTCTTGTCAGTAACTGCAAAAACAAGCTGCTATTCTTGTTGGTACCCACAGACCATCATAAAAAGGGAATCCAAGCCAGGCATAGCGGTGCATGCCTATAATCCCAGCACTTTGGGAGACTGAGGCAGGTGAATCACTTGAGGGCAGGAGTTTGAGACCAGTCTGGCCAACATGGTGAAATCCCATCTCTACTAAAAATACAGAAATTAGCTGGGTGTGGTGATGCATGCTTGTTATTCCAGCTACTTGGGAGGCTGAAGCAGGAGGATCACTTGAATGTGGGAGGAGGAGGTTGCAGTGAGCCGAGATTGCACTGCTACACTCCTGCCTGGGCAACAGAGCAAGACTTCATCTCAAAAACAAAAACAAAAACAAAACAAAAATGGAATGCAAAAGGTAGAAGTTGACTCACAGGATGTGCTCCTGCAAGATACTTATCAACAGGATTCTCCCAGGAGGCACAGGACTCATTCCCAGGTGTGGAGAAACCAATCTGGCAGAGATAAGCGGCACCCATGGCTGTCATGACGGGAAGGAGCAGTGTAAGAGAAAGAAACCAGCTCCTGGCCTCTTTCACAGGAACCAGGGGTTAGCCATGTTCCCCTTCCAGCCCCTACTTCTGGAACACGGTCATTCCAGATGAGAGGGGCACTCACCACAGGTCCAATCATGGGCAGTGGGTCGGGGGTCTCAGGTGAAAGGGGGACTGGGAAGATCTCAGTGTGTGAAGATGAAAAGGGTGATGAAAGACCAGAGAGGAACGGAGGCCATGCCTTCAGCCATTCCCAAGCCCTGTAAGCTAGACAACTCCATTGGATGGAGATGAGAGGAAGCTGTGGCTGGGGCAGGTGGGGCACAGCTGGTTGTGAGGCAGCACCTGCTCCCCCCACTAATATCACTGAGGAACCCCTGAAAGTCTGCAGGCCCCAGCTCTGGTGACACAGCATCTTCAGGGGCTCAGCCTGACTTCCTTCCTTCCCTTCATTCTGGAGCCTGGCTGGCCAGGAGAGGTCTCTTCTCTCCCACTGCCTCCTTATGAACCAGGTCAACAAAAGACCAAGGGAAGATTCTGGCAGTGTCCCCAGGGCTCAAGTCCAGGACTGGCTCTTGGCAGCAGAGCCACCTGATAAAGAAGCAGGCCTGGCTTAAAGGACTTCCAGCTCTGGGAGTACAGAAGAGGCTTGAGACCATGTTCAGGTGGGATGGGGGCAGCCTCTAAGCCACCTCCCAGGTGGTCTACCCTGCTCCTGAGGTCCCCAGGGCTTAAAACTGCAGGAGTTGGCCGGGCACAGTGGCTCACACCTATAATCCCAGCACTTTGGGAGGCTGAGGCAGGCAGATCATGAGGTCAGGAGTTTGAGACCATCCTGACCAATATGGTGAAACCCCATCTCTACTAAAAATACAAAAAAATCACCTGGGCATGGTGGCAGGCACCTGTAATCCCAGCTACTCTGGAGGCTAAGGCAGGAGAATCTCCTGAACCTAAGAGGAGGAGGTTGCAGTAAGCCAAGATCGCGCCATGGTACTGCACTGCAGCCTGGGCAACAGAGTGAGACTCCATCTCAAAAGAAAAAAAAAAAAGAGTATTCACAAAATCATTTGGGAAATGCCCTGAACCTGCTACAAGTGATGCATGTACCTTGACTGTGAGAGGCCAGGGTTTTGTTTTACCTAGTGAGTACCTAGTGTTGTACCTGAACTGAGACTGCAAGCCTGTGTACACACTTGGAAAGCCACGTGACAGAGAAAATGGCCCTCTGCCCTGCCTGGTACAGGACTCCAAAGCTACCATGCCTGTTCTCCAGGAGGCCATTGGGAAAATGTATGTCCTGGCACGTGGGGCATTGGTCTCTAGAGAGGAGTTAGACTGGTGGGTCATTCAGAGGCTGCTCCAGGACTTCATAAGTCCCTCAGGCATGGAGGAGGGAAAGAGCTGTCTTCAGCTATTGCTTCACAGGGACCAATCAGCAGCAGGCAACTAGGGCTCCCCACAAGAACAGGCATAGCCGGTGCATGTGGGGGCTCTACCTTTGCCAGCATCCTTATTTGAGAAAGTTGGGATTAAGGGAACAGGAGGGACTGGTGAGAGAGAATAAGTCACCAAGACCAGCATCCTAGCCCAGTTTGGTGAGACACTGGCTCCAGCTTGGCCTTGGTAAGCCAGTGTCTTCCACAGCATCTAACTGGCACCTAACTGGCACTGCCTTGGTGTCCACCTGCCCGTGCCTGAGCCCTGGGAGATGGTTCTTGACCGCAGGGTCCCGCAGATGCTCTCTGGCACATGCTGGTGATGCCAGGTACCTGTGCTCCCAGGCCTCCCAGTGCTCCCAGCTCAGGCGGGGCTCAGTTCTGCAGAGGCACCAAATGGGTCTTTGTCAACATTCCTTTCTTCTTTTTGTTATTTTTGGTTA